TGCATTTGTGCTGATAAATAAATAAAGGGAGACTAATATAGATCTGTTTCAAGCTATTTAGCTCTCATCAGCTAGCCATACCCTTACTGGGAATCAAAGCTGGCCTGTATTACATATTAGGCAGTTATGTTAATACAGCCCAGGTTCAAATCCCAGTAAGGGTATGGTTAGCTGATGAGAGCTAAATAGCTTGAAATAGATCTATACTAGTCTCCCTTTATTTATTTATCAGCACAAATGCAACACACACATACACACACATATATAAACAATTATTATGATTATTACACATTCATTTGGCTATAACTATTATTACATCCTTTTATATAAAATAGTCTACATTTAAAGTATATTATGGCATTTAATTACATCCTCCTAAAATCATCCAATAACATTACATCTTTATACCATATTCTATATAAAAATTGTTTATATTTAATAACAAGGCTTTTAAATATCCTCTCATAGTCCTCATTTACAATTTGTATAAAGTTTCATTATCAATCTGGTGTATATATATGCATTATTATCATTGTTACTCATTTATTTGACTATAACTATTATCACTCCATTTTATAAATAATACTCTAAATTTAACTAAATTTAACTTAATTTTTATTATGACTTTTCATTACATCATCCTGTGTCCTTCCAGTAGTAGTGCAGTCTTGCCATTTGTAGTATTAGTGTTCTGGTTGCTTTCTTGGTAAGCCTTATATGGACTTCCCTTAGCAACTCGTTCCTCATTGTATATCTTGTAAAAACTCGAAACCCTCCATCTGTTCCTTCCATCAGCTTGCCTTTGATTATCACCGATGCTTCTGTCAAAATTTCTCTCATTACTTCTGTCAAATTTTCTCCCTTTTCTTCTATATTTTGAGGTCTGAGATAGAGTTCCAATCCATCAATCTCCCCTTTCCATATTCCACTCTTGCCATTTCCTACCACGCTCTGTTTACTGTCAATATCAACAATTTTCTTATCTTTTGTTCATCTTTTTCTTCAATTTTTAGAAATCTGTCCTCAACTTTCATCATCATTTGATAAGTATCCTCAATTTTTCCATCTATTTTTTCTGTTCTGTTCTATATTCCTCATTCTCTTCTTAATATACTCTGTTGTTACTAGTATTTTTTAATTTCTAGCATAATCATTTGCAATGTTAATGTTTCTTTTTCAAGTTGCACCATTCTTCCAACTTATAAACACTGCCACTATAACATCCAAGGCTTTTTTGTTAAATTTGAAGCAAGTTCATTATAATCTTTCAAGTCAAGGCTTTCTCTTCACTCCAGTCCAGCTACTGATAGTACTCCAGAAGAGCACCTGTATAAACAACTCGTGCTCTTCCCACTATCACTTTCAATAAACAAGCTCAGGGGCCTTGTTAGGTAAGTCAAATGTACAAAGAGTAAAGAGAAAAACAAAGATTCCAATCCTCC